AATGGAAACCCTTGCAACTAATGTAAAGCTCTCAAATGTTGATCTGGTTTAGATATTTTCAGAAAGGGTCCCCTTCCCCATTACTAATTCTGGAGGTTGTCCTAAGACAATCTCTGAAACTTATAAAAAATCAGAGAAACTTACTCAGACACCACACAAAAGATTACTTAATAATAATAATAATAATAAAAAACTTTATTTAAACTGGCGGGGTGTCAGCAGTTGCTAGTATCAATCCCAACCAGTATGACAAACAGTAAATACAACAATAAAGAAAAGGTAAAAAACAATTATCGATAATATAAAAAAAAGATAAGAATAAGAAACAATAAAATAAAATCAGAGGTCATAAGACACAATTTGCTGCATTAATATGTATCACACCTTTCTAGAAAGCTGTGGTATGCATGTAACATAACGAAAAACATTTTACATACTTAAAAATATTTGCTTAACATTTTTTTTAAATCCTTGAAAAGGCAGGCTTTTGATGTGATCAGGGATTGCATTATATAAAGAAGCAGCTAAGTAAGTGAAAGAGGATTCATATTTTTTGGAGCTGTGACTTGGAATATTTAGTGTGGTATCTACGAAACGTAGATTAGAACTATGCAAGGAGCCCCTGAAAGTTAATTTCTTGCTAAGATATTTAGGCTCTTGATATTTTAATATATTGTGCACAAGACAGACCAGGTGCAGTTGCCATTTAGATTTAAGATTAAGCCAATTAAATTTTTTAAAAAGAGGAGTAACGTGATCACGCCTAGATATCGCGGCAGAGAACCGCATACATGAATTTTGTAATTTTTGTCGTCTATATTGTTCTACACCGGTAAGACATGGTCCGTAAATGACATTTCCATACTCAAGTTGAGATATTATAAGCGACTCTGATAGTTTTAATTTAGTGGATGTTGGTAAGACATGCTTAAATGGATATAATGATTTCAGCTTCGCATAACATTTTTGTAGTAGCTTAGTAACATGAGTTTCAAACGTTAAATGGGTATCAAAAATAATTCCCAGGCTCTTTGCAGATTCTACGAAAGATAATTTGGTGCCATTTATGTATAAATTACAAGAGTTTTCAAATAATTCAAAACGCTTGGATTTGAAATTAATTGCGACGGATTTCTGAGCATTGAGCATTAAACCGTGATCTTCTGAGTATTTACATATGGAATTTAAATCTCTGTTAATATTAACGATTGCCTGTTCTACGTCAGCTCGACTGTACGAAATATACATTTGACTGTCGTCTGCATATTGATGGATTTTACAAAACTTTATTTTCTCAGGGAGATCAAACATAAAAAGCACAAATAGTATAGGGCCCAAAATGGACCCTTGAGGTACCCCTGATGTGACTGCGCTTACCTGAGACATCAGCTGTTTTTCTGAACTGTATACTTTGACCTGCTGTGTTCTTCCGGATAAATAACTTCTGAACCACTTTACCGACTCAATTCCCAAGTGCTTGAGTTTACCTAATAATAACTCATGATGTAAACAGTCAAAGGCCTTTGTATAATCCAACATAACGGCGGTTGTAACTTGTGAGTCGTCAATAGCTTTTAAGATGTCATCTGCCATGTCTACGAGTGTAGTAATAGAGCTGTGACGAGCACGGAAGCCCGACTGATTTTGTGGTAATAAATTATGAGAGCGGATATGTTGTAATAATTGCTTGAGTATAATTCTTTCTAGAACTTTTGAAAGAATATTTAACAGGCTTATAGGTCTAAAATCACTATAATTTTCTGGTGGATTTTTTTTGGAAGGGGTAAAATTATGGCCTCTTTCCAAGTTGCTGGAACTACGTTGTTTTCTATTGAGAAGTTGATTATATGAGTTAACGGTACGACTAAAAAATCTAAGCAGAGTTTTAAAGTATTCAAAGAAAATTGATCACTGCCTGGTGAGTTAGATTTAATTTGTGAAAAAGCTTCTAGTATATCTTTTTCTTCAACACTGTGAAATTTTAATTTTGTATGAATGTCGGGGTGAGCACTTGTCTGATACGCATCAATAGTGTTATTTTCTACTACGATAGTGGGGACTGAGTCAACAAAAAATTTATTAAGGGCATCCGGATTGTTTAAATGTTCTGGTATAAGTATGCTGACTTTGGAGTGCACATCTAATGAGTTAATAGTTTTCCACCAGTCCTTTGAATTTTTTTACGTTCTTAATCTATATTCAATATATGCTCTTCTTTCTAACCTGATTGACGATGTGACTAGATTGCGAAATTGCTTGTAATAGATCCACTTACTGTTCAACACGTCTATGTCGCAATTTGGTTTACGCCTATATGATTTATATTTTGAAAATGCACGATTTCTTAATTTGATCATGAATTTTATGTTGTCCGTGATCCAGGGAGGCGATTTCCTAGTAATATTGATATACTTATAAGGAGCACATGTGTCTAATAAGAGAGTTAAAGTGCGGTTTAACCATAGAACTTTTGAGTCTATATCGTCTATCAATAATACTTCCGACCAGTCAATTTGTGACGCCAGATATTTTAGTTCATCGATATTAAAATTTTTAAAATCACGTATTCTTATTTTTTTAGGAATTTTCTTACACGGAGGACAATCGATGCAACAATATGTGAGCAGATGATCACTAATTGAGGGTAGATTTACCGTACCAGATTTACATACTTTTTCAAAATTACTTACCGCGATTATATCAATGAGGGTCGCAGAGATAGCAGAAACGCGAGTTGGATCAATGATAATTTGTTTTATATTATAGCTTTCTAATATGTTGTTTAAATATTTGCATTCAGGAGTGTTTATATTGAGCATATTTATATTTAGATCACCTACGAGTAATAATTCGTCGGAATTTGGATACAAAACTGACAAAATATCGTCTAAGTGACTAAGACTATTATTACTTACATTAGGTGGTTTGTAAATTACTCCTAACGTAAATTTTTGTCTATTGGAAAAGGAACCGAACACTCTAAAGAACTCGGTCAAAAGGAATCAAACCTCGACACCTGAATGTTCCGAGCCTGAAGTACATCCTCCAGTTAAAACCAGCAACAATTTGGAACCAAGAGTTTGTTAATATTTGTTTGTTGACATTGATAAAAGGAAACACAGTTTTTCAAAAATGGTTTATACTTTGGCAGAGATAACAGAAATTATCGTTACTTATGAAAGTAAAAATCGTTGCGTTCACAGAATGGCTTGACAGAAATTCAAAAAATTACAGATGTTCCAAATTTGTTAAAAAATATTTGTTTCGATGTCGATGATTCGACCTTTTTCTTAAATAGGTTTTTCAGCAAACCTGGAACAATAAAAATCCACATGTTTTGGGAGGACCATACACAGTCTCCCGAGAAAATCAGTGTGTGTGCTGGTGCTCTAGGATGAGAAAATCAGGCTTATTTTCATTGAACAAAACAGGACGGAACAACTATATTTAGAACTTAGATAACCCCATTCATCATGCAATCGCTATAAAGCCAGATCGATGAAGAAGAAAACATGTTGCTCCATGAGCACAATTTGCATTTCCAACATGATGGAGTTCCTCATTATGCTGTTCCTGTGAGATAATGGTTGAATGAAAATTTTCCTGGGAAATGGATTTGAAGGTGTTCAATAGCCGGCAAGATCTCTGGATTTAATGCCGCTTGATTTTTTATCTGTGGTTATTTAAAAACTCCGCTAGAAGATATTCATGATCTCAGGGCTAACTCGAGAATGTAGACAGATTTCCCAAGAAACATATAGAAAAGTATGGCGAGATTTCGAAACAGGCTTTATTATTATTTAGCCAACAATGAATCGAGCACATTTTGACATTTAATACAATAATTTTTTGCAGATGAACCGATTCCAATTATTTGATAGAAGGATACGACTTTTTATGCCCTTTAAAATAATGTGTCATAAGATTTGAAATTCCAAGTTGGGGTAACTGGAAGTGAAGGAGTGGAACATAAAATTCAACAGTGGTTTCGAACTCCCCCTCAAAACCTACTTCGACATGTTTGTTTTCAAAAGCGTGTTTACTTCAGATTTAAAGTTATACTAGGTGGCTAGTTTTGAAATGAAAGCAGTATATAGAAGTCAAGGCTAGTAAACAGGCTTGTAAAAAAATCCTGCATTAATAATGAAATAAATCATATTTATTAAATTATTAAACTAGACCTGTTAGCAATAGAAGAAAGTTTTTTAATTATATATTATAATAAATTTCATAAAAATTACAAAATATTGGAAAATAATTAATTATTATTAAACTAGTAAAACTTAAATGAAAACTACTCTCAAATTACATTACGACATTTTGGTGTCATTATTTCCTGTACCTCAGGTTTATGGCCAGATGTGCCCATTCTAAACTTATTTTAATACAATAGGCTCATTTAGCATTAATTTTTTATTGCACATTCTGAAAGTTTGCAGTGTTTAGCACGTGTGCATAAATTTTTATTTAACAGACATCACCTTATGTAAAAAATTTGTTAAAATCAGCTACCTGAATAACTGCTTGCCAGTGCTGATTGAAAGATGGAAAACGGGCACACAATTGAGCTATTTATCAAAGTTTAACGGCTAACTGTTCTCGTATTTTTGTATACTATTTTGTTACAGGTAATACTTACTGTAAAATGGATAATAAAAGAAAAAACTATAAATATTGTGTAGTTCCTAGTTCCTGAGTGCAAAAATACTACTGCAACAACGCCAGATAAAACATTTATTAATTTTTAAATTAATTTGGAGTAAAGTCGGTAGAAAGGTAAAAACCAAGTTTTAATTAATTGACGTTTAACGTATTTTGTCTCAGGACTATTTAAATTAAGTTTTCCTTGGAAAGGTACATTTTCTAAAAACTTAAACAGAAACATGAATAATAAATAAATATAATCAAGAACAATACTAACAAACTCCATAGACTAGTCACTCAAGTTGCAGTTTCGTACATTAGGGTTACGCCATGTGTTTAATGCCTTAAGTTAGTGTGGCTTTGTGGTTGAGTGGTAAGAACACTTGCCTCTCACCCTTGAGTCCTGGGTTCGATCCCTAGTCGAACAACTAGGACTTTTTCTAAACCAGAAATTATTCCTAGCCTACTCGAACAATGGGTGTGTATCCATTATCTCTAAATGTGTAGCCCTTCCCACACAAGGTACGTTGAGGTAACTTCAGGGATACAGGGGGGTTGTATTACTTGTGGTGTTTAGCTGCATTCTCAAAACAACTTTTTTCTTCCTATGTCTCGCGTCGTCTGCTTCTGATTGGATATGGACACCAAGAAGTTGAAAATATTCAACTTCTTGGAGCGGGCCACCAATCAAAAACAGGCGACGCGAGACGCAGGAAGCAAAAAGTCGTGTGCGAACGAAGCTTTAGGAAACAAAACGACTAAATATTGATGTGAGGAACATTTGAATGCAAGTTATCTTGAATTTTAAATAGGAAAGAGACAATTTAGCTTGAGGAATACATGGAAAATTACATGTACTTCAAATTAATGAAAAATGTGGCAATTAAATTAAGACCTAATGTTATTCCACATATCCTTGATTATCAGAAAAACCGGACAATTTATTTGATTATTCATATGCAAATATCTTCTTTTGTTCAATCAATGACATTTTTTGAGGCCTTTATAAAAATTTAAAAATAGGAAAAACTATATTTCACTAAATGAACCTATTATACTCAATTCTACGTTATAAGGTTACCAGTTTTGGGGCCTAACACATATAGATGGTAAAGTTTTTCCAATCTCGGTGTAAACACTATAAAACGCCACCCGAATAAAGAAGTCACCAATAATTACATCCATGCCATGGCCATCGAACAAACAGTTTTAAAATTTTATACTCAAACATGATTTCCATGTTATTCCATTGCAGACAGACTTTGTCATGATATTACCTGGTAGCAGCGGTTCAGATGGACTGTTTACACTGAGATTGGAAAAAACTATAACCCTAAGCATTTGAAAATATATTTTACCTACTAGTTCGGGTTTTTAATTTAATGTGAAATTCTTTACAGGTTAAATTTATAGAACAAAATTCTAAGTTGAGTTCACAATAGTATTCTTTGCCATACAATTTCAATTTCAGAACTCATAAACATGCATTCAGTATTAAAAAAATCTACTAAATATATCACTAGATTATCTATGCTACATCGACTTACTTGGATCTATAATGGCTTCTAATTTTTCTAACGTTAGTTTAACTTCTTTTAGAACTATTTCATCTTTTTTATACTTTGGAGCAATATTTTGTGTTGCATTTAGGGTCATCTCCATATTACTATGTTTTGTAATATCTAATATTCTTTGCTTCAAGTTGACTACTTCCAAATTCTAAAAAGAAAATAATTACCTATTTTAGCATAAATTGAATATCACAATGTCCTTAAAATACTAACCTTAAATTCTAGTTCACTTTTAACAGATTTCATTTGCTTTTCAGTCGCAGTGAACTTTTGTTTCCAATCATTTTGGGTTTTCTGTTGTTCAATCTGATTGTTTGTTTTAGTTTCCTGCAGTCGAGTTCTTAAAATAGCTACTTCACCTTCCTTTTCTTCATATTGTTGCCGAAGTTTCTGTATTTCTTGTTCCAAGTTTTCGCCCACAGTTTCTTTTTTAGACATACATTCTTTCTTGCTTGTGGTCGGTAGTATACTGCTATCAAACTGTGTTGAACAAAAAATTGCATTTCGTTCCTTAAAAGCATTGTAGGTGGGTAAAAGTGTTACATTGTTTAGCTGTGTACAAGTTATTTTATCCTGAAAATAATTACACATAATAACAGGTTTTTTTCTGACAGCAGTCAGTAAATATTTCAAACTGGTCCGAGACTACCGTTAGAACAAAGCTAATAATTCCAAAATATTGACCTAATACTAATAGAAATTAAAACATAAATATAACCTTACTTCTTCACAAACTTGTGTAGCCAGCTTTATACAGTCATCCAAGGCATCTTCATCTAGATCTTCACCCCATAATGCTTCAATGTCGTCGTCCAATTTTGGTTTTTTATTAAGTATTTGTTCAAAACTGCCGTATCGTTTGGTCATTCTTAACCATTTTACTCTTATTCTCTTCCTCTTTTGAAAATTGTTTCGGAGGCAAAATTACACGTGAAGTTAGTTTCTTTCAGGCAATGGGGTTTTTCTTTTCATTGACATTTTTTAAACTGGTAATTTTTGATTGTACAAATTATAGGCATATTTTTACGCTGCGAATGCCTTCAAGAAAAATTAGTGTAGGGTCAAATTCTTAACACTAGCAATTTGTCTTAGTAAAGAGAGATAAAAGATATAGGTGGGTAACGCAGAAACGAAAACAAAACAATGAATCCGTATGCATATAAGCATTCCTTACAGTCATACGGAAATGGCAGTATTAATCGCAATTTCATTGGCCGTTTTAAGATAGCCGCAGGGCATGCGCAGTTACATGACATGTCAAATTGTATTAAATCCTTTTGGAATCGTTTGTTAGCAAGGAATTCATTAGACGATAGAGAAGATACTCGCCTAGCACGCGGTAGGTCCAGGGTTCGAATCACAAAGTTATTTTTTTTTTTTAAATAAGGATTTTATAGTTCGTTAGTAAGATTTATATGAAGATTACATTTTTTCCTTGCCCTTTAACTTATTATTATTTTTTTAAATAAGTATTTTTTAGTCCGTTAGTAAGATTTATATGAAGATTACATTTTTTCCTTGCCCTTTATTACATTTTTTCCTTGCCCTTTATTATAGTTTATTTATTTTCGCGGTGTCGAATTCCCCTTTAAAAATGATATCTGATGAGCACGCTATGCCGTGGCCTTGAAACGGCCAATGAAATTGCTAGAAATACTGCCATTTCCGTATGACTGTAAGGAATGCTTATATGCAATCCGTATCGAATCAGGAAATTAGAATTTTGCTGCTGCAGCAAGATTCTGATTTCTCGATTCGATACGAATTTTTTGTTCTAAGCTTGTTTCTGCCTATCAAAACTATATCTTTCAACCATAGACATCTGCGCTTTCAACTCTCTTAACGACAAATTGCTATTGAGGCGATCGTTCAGAACCTGGGTGCTGATTGGTTGAATACAAATTTCTTGTTCCGTGATTGGTTATAAAACAAACTGATTTCTTACGGTTAGGGTATGAAAATTCGGCTTATATCATAAGTCATCTGTCATTTTCAGTTTTTTTTTTTTTTTTTGTAGATAATCTACGGTAGATTCCATGATAAGTAGTTTTTATTATAATAGTTTTACTTTGGTTGAGAATTTGTACAGTAGTTAATAGTTTTTATAATGTATAGCGGGAATTCATATCTGTTTAAAAGTTCTTGTCTCATTCAAATTAGGTTATTTTGTCATTTTTTGTTTAATCTTGATTTTTAGAGTTTAAAATAGCCGTAGGTTTACTATCCTCTCATGCCTTTCTTTTTCTTTGGCGTAGCGTAAAAGAGAGAAAATTTTAAATTTATAGTAACTGAGCAAATTTTCAAAAGGGTTTTATTCCAGTTAGCAGTATTTGGGAACATTCGAAAACAACTGATAACGGTTATAACAGTTAAGGTCTACTCAAACCAACGCGGGACTGCGGAAGCGGGAACGGGAACGGGACGATTGCGGGACATTAATCTATATCGGGATATGCAACTGCACATACCGACACGGCGGTCCGCATGCGATAATGCGGGATGTCTGCGAAATAATTTTGCTTCGCAGCATGCACGGTTTTCCCGCACTTCGCATGGTTCCCGCGTGCATTTACGTTGGTTGTTGCGTTGATTCGAGTTAAAAATGGCCGAACTACAGAGAAAGTGATCACAGTGGTACAAAAATATCCTATTTTATACGATATACGATAATTGCCGAAAAGGGGATCTGAATTAAACCATAACACCAATTTTTTTTATGTAATGTTTTATCCAGGACTAAATTCTCGTTTTCTTCATCTTCTGCTACTGCTAAAAGCAGAAGAGGTTCCTCCTCATCTGAAGAACTGTCGAACATAATCGTTAATATTAGCAAAGAAATTATAAAACTAATGAATACCAAACTACAAGTAAAATAAATTTGTATAGTCCCGTCTAACTTTTGATGCGTCAGTGTATTGTCTCTCGATTGACCGGCTCCCGCACATACCGCATCGCTCCCGTTCCCGCTCCCGCAGTCCCGCGTTGGTTTAAGTAGACCTTTAAACATTTTTAATAATTGTGAAGGAAGAAGGCTGAGGAGAGGAATCTATTGAATTATTTTAAACTTTTAAAAATATAACACGTGAATGGGTTTATTCAAAGAACTTCACGCATTATATTCAGTAGCTGAATGAAATATTTCCCTTTTGAAAATTTGCTTCGCACTCATTTAATGGTCTTTGTAGATCCGATGTAACCATATTACAGTTAAATGTTTTTAAAATAGTTCTTATTTAAAAAATGTATTAAAAAATAACCAAGTATTACATCTCTGCGGTTGGTATTGTTTAATTTTGTTTATTAGATGGTTATGAATTCACAATGAACTTTTGCAAGAGTTAACAAACAAATTTTTGTTGTTTTGGCTGTTTCCACTCAATATCAATAAGGGTTAACAAACTAACCTAGTAGACATAGAACTTCAAAAGGATTACTTGATAACATATCAAATATTAAATATATTACTATGGCCCGGTTTTTCAATTTTCAGCTAGCTAAATTACCCGTCAGTTAGTGTGAAATGGATGAATTCTATTGGCCGACTAACTGACAGATAATTTAGCTTGTGAAAAACGAGGCCTGGTTAGAAACGAAAACCCTAATGTTCTGACCCTGAACGCACCCAAGTGATTTGTGTCAACTTCACATCTAATATTTAGCGGGAAAATACAGAACAACATTGCTTTAATAACCTTCAAATTCAAACTTCCAAGCATGAATGAATAGCAGACTGTCTGATGAATAGATAAATAAGACTAATAAGAGTTTCAAAATTAAAATTTAAAACACGAATAAAACGAACCATGAATGATGGAAACTGTGAACGAAAATATTTTACAGACACCAGAAAATTTTGATTTTCCAT